CTCCCCCTTTGGGGGGGGGCGCCCCACAGCTTGCGCACAACTGATCTAGAGATGTGGATGCACCTACGTTCGTAATGAAGGCCCTTGAAAAATGTTTAATTTACTGTTGAATGGCGAAAGCGTCTGTTCTTAGCTCTAAATAAATAACCTTTGTCTCGTTTAAAATAAGTTTTAGGTGCTGATTAACCTTTCATTTTGGATGACGCAAGTGCTAGCGCAATTTGAAACGTTGTTGTAGTCTAATATACAACTCGTTTATAATTAGCAATGAACGTTCATCTACGTGGTTATAAGCAACAAAGATAAAATATTTGAAAATGAACTCTTTCAATTTGAAAATATCATTTATAGCTCGCTTTTAGCCATCACAAGTGAACAATAAAATATTACCAATTAACAGGGTGTTTGAGCTCTTATCTGTTTTTTTTTTTTATTGAATATATCTGTCTCTATTGCCTAATCTTTCTGTGTAACTGACCGTTTTCACACCATATCTTTCGGCACTCCAGCATTGCGTATAAAACAGCCCCCTTAGCTGAAACGTTTTTCTAAGACTGAACTTCTTTGAATAACACAAGCCTGATACTTGAACTGCCAGCCATTCCTGCCTGAATAAACAAAAAACAACAACGAGAAACTTAAAAGTTAAAAGCCAGGAGCACTTAACCAATTAATCTGTTATGTGAACGTGTGCATTTCAGTGAGCTGGCAATACTAATACAAAATAACATGGTTCTAAATAACTAAAGAAGTAAAATTCTAAGTAAAGAACATTCGAAACGCAGAGCTAAAGCACCAGGTTGGAACGCAGAACTAAAGCACCAGGCCGGAACGCAGAACTAAAGCACCAGGCCGGTACGCTGAGTCCAGAGTTCGAATACTGTCTAGTCTCAGTTACCACTTCTTTGTAAAATTATCCAACTTTACAGACGGAAGATGTCCTACTTTTAAAAATGGGGTAAAATGTTATATTTCTAGACGTATATAAAAATATTACACTCCTTCATTAGCTTAACTAACTTGGGGAAGTCTCTCGAGTGAAATGCTACCTTATCCAACAAAGGTTTATCAATCTAATCCCTTACACTTACACTTATAACCTGCATATAAAATGGAAATAAGCTTAAGGATAACGTGTCTACTTGAACAGTAAGTTATATATAAGAGAGTTAATTATTATTTTCGTAACGCAAACGTTGATATTAACAAGTTATAATATATTCTATATCATATCATCTGGGGGAAGGGGACGTGTTCTAATATCAGTCACTCTAGTTTATAAGAGGTATTCGTTAAAGTGGACAGAAGGTTTTACACATCTCACAAAAAAAGTTAGAGCGACCTCTATTTTTCTTTATTAACGGTTTCCAGTCAAGGTGCTGAATTTCGTGAACACCGGAACTCAGTAAATCAACCACAAAGAATTAGTTAGAAATAGTACTAAATGATTCAATACGTACCGCTGTTGGGTCCTATAGACTGTGTCATCAGGAGCTCATCAGAGTTGTTCTGATAGTTGAAAGTGTAGCAATTTCCGTAATGGAAACTGAGGAAGCGACTGAAGTTACTATCAAGAAAAAATATTCAAATTTTGCATCCTCATATATGTACATTGATAATTATATGAATAAAGTCTTCGAATGTTAAAGACGCAAGCCGGTGGAACTTAATTTACTTAATATCTTGTACGTGCGATGAATTCTAGGACAGACAATAATAACTCATGCAGAAGGAAAGTCCCTTATTCGGGAGTATGATCTGAGGGGTGGTTAAGTCACTCACCATTACCATACACATCAAAGATTAACCATACAAGTAACAGGTACATCTACTCAGTAATTTACCAGGCATGTATTAATAATTATATTATCAATTATATGAAAGCAATCGTTAAACAAGTAATCAAATTACCAACATTCATCAGACACATGCTAACATAAATTATACATAAGTACACAAATTATATAACAAATGCCATCTATTTTGGGATATTGTACACATATATCACCTTCTAATAGGAATACATTAATATTAACTCAATATTAGCACTGAAATAAATAAACGCAAACCAACATTAAACGTTCCCCCTACACACACACATACTGTAACAGTTGTTGATGTGTTAACAATTAATCAGACACATACTGTAACAGTTGTTAATGTGTTAAAAATTAATCACACACATACTGTAACAGTTGTTAATGTGTTAAAAATGAACGACACACACTATAACAGTTGTTAATGTGTTAAAAATTAACAACACACCCACTGTAACAGTTGTTAATGTGTTAAAAATGAACCACACACACACACACTATAACAGTTGTTAATGTGTTAAAAATTAATCACACACATACTGTAACAGTTGTTAATGTGTTAAAAATGAATCACATACATACATACTGTAACAGTTGTTAATGTGTTAAAAATGAATCACACACACTGTAACAGTTGTTAATGTGTTAGCACTTAATAAATGAAAACATTTGTATCTTATTTCTTTATATATTATACGTATTCCATTATTCGTCAGTTTTATACCAATAGTAGCTGTGTTTTATATACCAATAAACGTCAGTAATTAGGAGACAAACACTAACAAATGCAAATATTCTAACATGTTAATAATTAGCCTGATATCTATCTTCATCAAAAATATAAATATTCCTATAATGTCCTATACATTAACAGCGAATGTACCAAAATTTACTAACTAAATAACAACATTCACCAAAAATGTAATAAACATGACAAACATTATTCAAAATTACTAAAGCATTTGCCTTTGAATAGGGATTATTATACAAAAGTTTACCAGACATACTTTCAAGCCCCTTTATGTATTTACATTCCAGTGGCATTTCTTCTTTAAGACAACGACTAGATTTGTTTCAGATTCTCGAAGATTACTTCTTACAGACAGGGATAGCTTACTTACGACTTCCCTAGCTGCTTTGCCCCATAAATCCCCAAACAACTAGTTAGGATTTCAAAACATTTACACCATCAAGCAAAACTCCATCAATAAAGTCACTCTTGCACCACCAACACAATACTAAATAATAATATCTATATAAATACAATAATGCTGTTAACTGTCCGCTGTATGTCCATGTAACTACTTCGTAGGATGTGGATGGATCTTCACCAAAATTGGTATGGAAGTTCATTAGGTCCATACGGGGGTACATATAAATTTTCAGTTTTGTGGTTTTATGGACGCTTTTGCGTTTTTTTTTGTTTTTTTTATACCATTACTTGCTGACGGATATTCACCAAATTTGACATGAAGGTTTGTTGGGTCCATGCAAAGATACATGCAAATTTGCGGTTTCACATTTTGTGTTTTTATGTGCGTTTTTTACAATTACATATAAGGGAAGCAGCTTTTCATGTCCTAAGATAACCTTTCATTAATCATTAATTTACATAACCTCCGTCCAGGGGACGAGTACTCCCCCTAGTTTTAAATAAAATACTGTGAAGTTAATACTTATTACTAATCATCAGCTTTTACTATTTCATATAACGATAACACGATTCGAAAGTTTTACCCCCACGCGGATAGGGGGATAATATTCTCGGATCTAAACAAACATATCAAGTTTTCGCCTTGAAAGGTGTTATGACCACTATAGCAAAACTAAGACCCCTTTGAAAGCATTGTACGAAAGTTCGGGGCTCTGAGGCTTATAGTTCGTGAAATACTTTCATTTCTCACCCGTTTCATAACACTTAGTTATGTACAAAGCGAAGTTTATTGTGGACGTTGATATTTATTATAACAAAATTCCAAAAGTCTTTCCAATTAACGATGGGAAGCATATTATAAACAATGAAACACCGTTGTAAAATAATTGGTTTCTATGAAATGATGATAAGCATTTAAATCATGTCCATTTATAATCTACTTAACTTACTTTATAAGTTTGATTAACAAAGAGTACGTCATTACCAGGAATAACTATTCACTTCTTAAGCATTTCTGACCAAAAATATTTCCGTGTCCAATTTATACAACACTTTGCAGCTTCTGCCTAAATTTTCAACAAAAAATGTACTTTAAATTTTTTTAGAATTTTTATGTTTTACTACTGCGTTTTCAGAAGAACGTTGGTTTTGAAGACTTATTTTAGCGTATATGAGATTCAAACATTATTATTATGACCGTATACTTAATTATTAAATACGATTAATGCATACAGAGCAAATTTTAATGATTATTCTATAAATGAGATTCAGATAAAGTACAACCAGAAGTTTCTATTACAGAAAACTATTTAATAAAATTATTAGGTTTTCTTTCATTATAACAAGTGACGTAATCTTCTTAATATCAGCCTTATCAAACATTTTAGACATAATGTTTACACAACGAGGAATGCCTTAACCGCAACAAGGAATGCCTTAACCAGAAGGTCACTTCACTTTCAAAGACCAGTAGTCTCTATCTTTGATCGCCATTTTGGAATCTGACCTTTTTCTTTATATTGTTTTAAATCTCTTTCTTGTCAACTTATACATTAGCGCCATTAACATCCACTCAACAAAAATCACGTAATATGATTTTATCTTTTCAAAATATCAAATCCTTTCTACAGTAATTCATCTCATCTTCTTGTAAAGCGTTACAGTTTTTCAGTCAGTATCTTTTGAGTGTTATAATTTTATTTTTTTCATTTCTTTACAAAATCAGATTGTATATTCCCATACAATATTAGTATACCCGTTTTGTCACCCACCACAGAAACAGAAAATCACGAATCTATGTCTATCAGTAATACAGATATCAATTACTAACCACACTTCTGTTAAGGAATTGAAATAGTTTAAGTTATGTGATTAAAACCATAATCTCTTAAAGCTAGTTTAACGTTACTTTTCATGTTCCAAAACGCCGTTAATGAAATCTATCATTAGACTTACAGTTAAAACCGAAAACACTTAAAACATTTCATCAAACAATTTCGTATTTTGCTACTACATCTTAATTATTTGAGGAATTTAATGATAAAAAAAGGTTACGTGAAGTTTTTTAAATGAATGTGACCTACCTCGTGCTACATTGTTCTCCGTTAAAAGTACTCTCACGCACAAGTTTATCCAAAGAGTGTCCCAGCTGTTCCCGCAGGGTGGCGTTCATAGCTGCGAAGTGAGTTAAGAAGTTAAGAACTTCCAGCTGTCGGGCGCTAAGTTTTTTTGCTTGGAATTCATCACATGAGGCGTATTTATTTCGTCCCTTTTGGAGAACCAAATAAACTAATTTTTATTCGTGTAGTTTAATTCATTCATTCGTAATAAATAATGACCATTTGCGTAATAATTGTTGGTTGATGATTATCTTAAGCTTATTAATGACGATCCAGAAGTGATAAATCCAGTCCAACTTGTTCACTTTTGGATATCTGGTGTAGGGCTATTTTAATCCGTTCTGTCAGTGCATTATCAGGTTTTTAAGATATTGCTTAGGGCCGAAAAACTATAATTCAATTTCATTTATACTAAAAAAGACAAGAAGATAAACAGGTATTTTTGTAGCTTAATGTACATGTACGTAGCTTTATTGATAAGTATACACGTGTTACAAAAGTGACCTTAAAACTACAATTCGTTGTTTTATCTTAGGAAAAACATTATATCAGTACATGAAAATATGAGGCTTTCCAGGGTGTAATCGTTAAAGACTTTCTAAATTTAAAAATAAATTAATTAATAGATTATAATAAGATTTCAGTTTTCTAATTCAACAAGACATTAATTACGACTGAGTCACTAATCTTTAAACAGACGATAAAGATTCAGCTCTCTAGATGTTTAACTCGTTCGTTTAGAATTTTCTTCCAAAGCTAAACAAGTGTCATCTGCACTAGCCGTCCCTAATTTTGAACTGGTAAACTAGAGGGTAGACAGCTAATCAACAGTACCCATCGCCAACTCTTGGGCTACTCGAATGGATCCTTTGATCCACAGTCTCGCACGCTAACTTGGCCACGCCCGGTTTAATGTAAATAGTTTCGAATACTTTAAGTTATTGTGTGTATTCGAAGCCGCTAGGGTCTGCATAATCAAAATAAATTCAAAAATTCACTATCTAATAAATATAATCTTTAAATCTATTAACAAGTAAAATGTTTATTCTGACTTTAAATGTTAATTTTCAGACTTTTCTCATATTAGTTTGTTGATAAGCACGAAGCTATACAATGGACTATCTGTTCTTTGCCTACCGCAGGCTTAGAAATTCGATTTTTAGCGTGATAAGCCCACAGACTTACCGCTGGAACACAGAGTGCAGTCATATTAATAGTGATTTCCTCGGGAATACCTCTATCAAAAAAGAATCAGATGATCTAAAGAAAAACATCTTGAGCTGAAAAATTCTGAAAGACTTGTTCCACTTTGTACTAAAAATGTGTTTCACCTGTCAAGATAAAACTTATGAACAAATTAGATGGCCTAAGCATGGGCAGCCCTCTGTCACCTGGTTTATGTGAATTGTTTATCAACAAAATAAAAAGTCAGGCCATTAACAGCTCTAAACCCTCCTACACACTGGTTTAGATACATTAACGATGTATTTTGTGGATTTGTTTGTTTGTAATTAAGCATAAAGCTACACAATGGGCTATCTGTGCTCTGCCCACCACGGGTATCGAAACCCAGATTATAGCGTTGTAAGTCCGCAGACATACCGCTGTGCTACTGGGGTGCTTGTGGATTTGAAGACAACATCCATCAACGGTCATTTCTACAAAACGTAAACAACATTCACTTTCACACCAAGTTCACTCCCGAAGAAGAGAATGAAAATCTGGTATAAATTACATGAACATAACAATAGAAAGAAACTCCAACAGTGTTAACACAGAAATCTTCCACAAATCTGATAATGATAACAATGATATAAAGCCCACTCAACTCAACAAAAAATTGGAACTTTGTCAAGCATTTACAGCACAACATTTAACACATGTAGCAACAGTAATCTGCAACATGAACTAGAATTAATACCTGACACATTTCACTTCCCTAAACATATTGTCACTAGAACCTTAGCCAAGTATAAATACAAACTCAATAACAGAAAGAAAGAAAGAAAGGGAAAACAACATAAACTCTATGAAGGAAACAAAAATACACAAACTCAGACAAACTGATAGGTATCTTACCTATGTAACCAAAAACACCATAAACATTTAGAAACAAATATCAAAAACACACACTATAAACAGTAAAGTTACTTTTATTCAAAAACCGAATACTAAAATAAAAGGCCATCTAAGTA